TAACTAGTATTCCCTGCCAAAATACTCCTTAAAATTTGTATTTCTTAGAAAGCTTGAATAAAATAGATCAGATCTTTTAATATCTTTTGGAGTTGGTAACTATACTCTTAATTAATTTATCAGCAGGGGTCACTGTTGAGCAAGTATTTATTTATTTTTCCTTTGTTCCACCTGTCATTTCTCTCCCAGATCCTGTATTTAAAACTTCTTGAACTGGTTTCCTGGGTCTTGTTTGTGTGCTAATAAGCACTTACATTCATTATGTTAGTAGACTAATTCCCAAAATGTGCCAAAGTAAGATTTAAAAACTGATCAGAGTGCTCCTATGGCAGCACATGTATTAAATTGGAATGATACAAATTAGCATGGCCCCTGAACAAGGATGCCATGCAAATTTGTGAAGCATTTCATATTTTTTATTTCAGACTGATTAAAATAATAAATCTCAAAAAACATCAAATTGTTAAATTAACAAAAAATGCTTCTTACCATTTAGGAACTCTTAGATGATGTAATTACAATTTGTAATTTAAAGCTCTATTTCTCAGCTCTATAATTTTTGAAAAACAATTACAGTGTTATGCAAGCAACAATAAGTGCTAATGTTTGACAAGCCAAGTTACTTATTTAAGTGTTTTTTAAAATATATTTTATTGATTTTTAACAGAGAGGAAGAAAGAGAGATGGAGAGATAGAAACGTCGATGAGAGAGAAACATCGGCCAGCTGCCTCTTGCACACCCCATACCGGGGATGTGCCCGCAACCAATGTACATGCCCCTGACCGGAATCGAACCTGTGATCTTTCAGTCCGCAGGCCGACGCTCTATGCACTGAGCCAAACCGGGTTGGCTTTAGTGTCCTATCCTAGAAGAAGGGCTGCAGCCATGTCTCTTTGCTTTTTTAAGAGATTAGAGTCCTATCTTGAAACATATAGTGAGAGAACAATTTACCAGTTGCTCTCATGTTTTCCTCTCTATGTTCTTGTAATTGTTTGTGGATAGATTATAAAAATATATAATGGTATATCCCCATGTTAATATAAAACCAGATTACCTAAGGCCAAATGTTTGAACAGTCACTTCCTCTACAACAGTTATAGCTTAAACCCTTCACAAATTTGTTGTAATTCATTATAATTTTGACATCCTTTGTATTTTGTATGAGAAACCTAGAGTTTGGATTCAGCTGAAATATTAAAATTTCTAAAACATGTATTCAATTGTGTCTGTGAAACATTTATTTTTACAAATAATATGATCAACTAGCAGAAGCCATTTTGTTTTCCTAGAAAACATCTAAAATTATTGTATATCTGCCTCTAAACTCCATTGCTGTGTCACTTAAATAGTAAAAGAAAGTCTAGTTCTCTTGGGTTCTGAGATCCTCAATCTACTTTATCTGGTCAATTGTTTCTCAAACTTAAGGAAGCATCAGTATTACCTTGAGGGCTTGTTAAATACAAATTGCTCCTCTTTCCCTTCAACTCCTCCCCAACCCCAGTTGCTGATTCTTTAGGTCTGGAGGATAGCCCAAGAATTTGCTTTTCTAACAAGGCCCCTTTTTGATACTGATGCTGCTGGTCAGGTGACCATAGTTATGAACTACTGATCTTAGCCTTTCTTGCAAACTTGGAGTAGGGTCCATATGTGCAGTAGGATGATAAGGGAAATATAAATATGGACAGATGTCCTGTACCTCTGGTGTTTCCAGATCCTCTCAGGATACTGTGTAATCTTTTTTTCCTTCACATACCTTCCTGTTCCCACAGAGACAACAGCATTCAGTTTGTATAGACTGAAGCAAGGAAAACAATTAGCAGCTGTATGCGAATTTTATTCCTTTTTATAATTAGAGTTGTAGAAGAAGAGAGATATGATTTTTTTAAAATAACTTCCACCGATGGGTAGATATTGTTGGAAAGCAGATAATTCTTTTTTTAAATAATTCTTTATTGTTGAAAGTATTACATGTGTTATCTCCCCCCCCACCCCCCCAATCATCTCCCTCCTGCCCGCCCCAGGCCCTCACACCCCATTTTCTGTGTCCATGGGCCATTCATATATGCATACAAGGCCCTTGGTTGATTACCTTCCACCCACCCTCCCTCCCCTGCCTTCTCTCGGAGATTCCCTACTCTCTTCCATAGGAAAGCAGATTATTATTTAATATCAGATAATTTCCTAAAATATGTACTTGTCAGGCAATAGCATTACTTTTATTTTTAATCCTCATTGATGGATATATTTTTATTGATTTTTAGAGAGTGAGGAAGTAGGGGGAAGAGAGAGAGAAAAACATTGATTGATTGCCTCTTGTACCCCCTCCCAAAAAAAACCCCACCAGGGATGAAACACAAAACCTTTTGGTATACTGGACAATGCTCCAACCAGTGGAACCACACAGCCAAGGCAATGCCATTACTTTTATTATAAGACTAGAGGCCCGGTGCATGGATTTGTGCACCAGTGGGGTTCCTCGGCCTGGCCTGCAGGGATTGGCTAAAACCAGCTCTCCAGCATCCCCCCAAGGGGTCCTGGATTGCAAGAGGGCAGTTCTTGGGTGATGCATCCTGGAATTGGGCTTTCTCCTCTCTGGTTCTGAGTGCGGCACCTGAGAACCACAACTCTGCAGCTCCTGTGTTGAGCATCTGTCCCCTGGTGGTCAGTACGTGTCATAGCTACTGGTTGGACAGTCGCTTAGGCTTTTATATATACAGGTAGTGTTTGCTGCACTGAACTTAGTAGTTAAACTAACTTGTTTCCAAGTCCTTAGCCTGGGTAAAGAAGAAAAGTCTCTAAAGGAAAGTTTACTAGTTACCATTGGACTTCTCAGCAGAAACTCTGCAAACTAGAAGAGAATAGAACCAAATATTCAAACTACTGAAAGAGAGAAATTACTAGCCATGAATAATATACCCAGCAAAGTTATCCTTTAGGCCAAAACCGGTTTTGCTCAGTGGATAGAGCGTAGGCCTGCAGACTGAAAGGTCCCAGGTTCGATTCCGGTCAAGGGCATGTACCTTGGTTACGGGCATATCCCCAGTAGGGGGTATGCAAGAGGCAGCTGATTGATGATTCTCTCTCATCGATGTTTCTTACTCTTATCTCTCTTCCTCTCTGTAAAATATCAATAAAATATATTTTTTAAAAAGAGTTATCCTTTAGATATGAAGAAGAAATTAAGACTTTTCCCAGATATATAGAAGATGAGGGAATTGATCACCAGAAGCCTTCTATTGCAGGAAAAACTCAAAGTAAGATCACCAACAAACTTACAGCATAAACAGGGATACCGTGTGACAACAGAAACATAAAAGGGGATGGATAAAGGACTGAATTTGCAAAAGAGAATGGAGCCCAAATGCACTCAGAAGAAACAGGACTGCTGTATATATGACACTTTTCATAAACTTAATGGTAAACACACACACACACAAAAAAAAAAAACAACCTGAGACATAACTTAAAAAAAGGAAACAGATGAAAAAAGTATGGAATATCACAAATAAATCAAGAATCAGAAACACAAAGGAAAAAGAACCAATGAAGGCACAGAGCTACCAGAAAACAAAAGATAAATTGGCTATTGAAATCCTCAAACATCAGTGATTACCCTAAATATTAATGGACTGAATTCACCAATAAAAAGGCACAAAGTAGCAGATTGGAACAAAAAACAAAATCCAACCATATACTGCCTTTAGGACACAAATCTAAGCTGCAATCACAAAAATAGGTTCAAAATGATTCTCTAAGCAAATAGCATCCACAGAAAAGCAGGTGTAGCCATACTTATATCTAACAAAATTAAAATGCTTTTTTTTCCTCTCTTTTTTTCCCCCCATTTCCACTGCCCATTGAACCTTACAAAGACCTGCATTATATTTTACTTGAACTATAATGTCAGTATATTTTTAGCTTATCCCCTTCCTAGTCCAGAGTTTAATTTCTTTAGGTTTCTCTTTTCCAAAGGATTGTTTTAAATTTCCTTCATGTCCTAACCCCACCATCCACTTAATAGTTCATTCATTAGATAATTATTGAGTTCCTAACATGTATCAGGCTCTGTGCTCAATTCTGGATACTCTAGATGTCTGAGATACAGGGGAAAGTATATTCACTACTTCCCTACTTCTTCAAATTCTCCTCAATTACTTCTACTTAATTATTTTTATTTTATTTTTTATTATTTCAGAGAAGGGAGATGGAGGGAGAAAGATAAAAGCATCAGTGCTGAGAGAGAATCATCAATCAGTTGCCTCCTGCATGCCCCACACTGGGAATCGAGCCTACAACCTAGGCATATGCTCTGACCGGGAATCAAACAGTGATCTGATTCATAGGGTGTCGCTCAACCACTGAGCCATCCTGGCTGGGCACCTTATTGGCATTATTAAAAAAAAAAAAAATATATATATATATATATATATATATATATATATATATATAATTATTATTATTATTATTATTTTACAGAGAGGAATAGAGAGTTAGAAACATCAATGAGAGAGAGTCATCGATCAGCCGCCTCCTGCACACCCCCCACCGGGGATATGCCCGCAACCAAGGCACATGCCCCTCGACCAGAATCGAACTCGGGACCCCTCACTCCGCAAGCCGACGCTCTATCCACTGAGCCAAACTGGTTTTGGTCCTTAATGGCATTTTTAAATGGTCATTCTGTAGTGATGTGGTTTTAAGCAGTAAATCTTTTGTCATTCATTTTTCTTAAATGTAAAATGAAGATAAGGGGTAATGTGAAGATTCAGTATATTAATACATGAAACTATCTGCTATTATTCAAAATTTCTAAAGATGGAACAAATTAAGTATCTCAAAGATGTTTTTCAACCTAAAGAATCTCTGAAAATATGACTCTGGCTTTATAATACCCACTATACTTATTCACCTCTCTCCTAAGAGGATTACCTTTAAACTGTTGAGTTGAGCATAATAAATGTTAAGTATAACACTTGACACAGTATTTCTGTTTTTGCAGATGTTCTCAAATAGTGATGAAGCTGTAATCAATAAAAAGCTTCCCAAAGAACTCCTATTACGGTAAGTCTGAATGCTAATTTTGTGTGTGTGTGTGTGTGTGTGTGTGTGTGTGTAATATTTATTTTAAAATTTGTCCTTTTCCTATAACTAATATTTGAATTATCTGAATTTGTAAATTTAATGATTTTTTTGTTAAATAATCTTGTCTCTCCTAGATATAAATATTTTTGAATGTTTAATCTAGAAAATTTTCTCCTACCCAATTTGTACCTATATATAATTTTGTTTTCTCATTTTCCCTTTGCCCTATTCTTATAGATAATGTAAGAGATAGCATATTTTAGTCTAGTTTAATACTGATTGTTTTTGAAAATTGATTTTAATCTATCCCTTCCCCATATGCAACAAAATATTACATATACTGAGGTGCTGTATAGAAGAGTTACAACCCTTTATTTTACTGATAGAAAGGCAAAAGCTATTTGAGACACTTTCTTTTCCTATATTGCACTTATAATTTAACTTTCTTACTTTTAATCTTTAGAAAGTATATTTGGGGTCACCCATAACATAAAACACACAGCTCCTGGTTTACATACCTGACTCAGGAATCACCTGGGAAGAAACAGGCATTAGGGAAGTTATTTGGGCACTTAATCACACATACCATTCTTTGTTCACTTATGTGAGATATCATGACTGAGAAAGGAAGGTATGTTCTCACCTGCAATTGTAAGAAGTTGTTATCTGTGCTTATAGGTATCACTTCTTGCTCTTAGCTTCTACAAAGGCTAGCCAGCCCATGACAAGCCTATCCCTGCTTCAGGATTTGTATGTCCTAAGTCCTCCACTCTATTGTAAGATCCCTGTAAACAGGGACATACATATATATATATATATATATATATATATATATATATATATATATATATATAAATAAAAGCCTAAGCGACCATCTGACAGTTCGACTGGTTGCTATGATGCACACTTGACTACCAGGGGGGCAGATGCTCAGCGCAGGAGCTGCCAAGCTGCGGTAACTTGGCAGCTGTGTTTCTCAGGTGATGCACCTGGAACCAGAGAAGAGGGAGCCCGATTCTGGGTTGCATCACCCAAGAAATGCCCTCTCACAATCCTGTCCTTCACGGGATGTCGGAGAGCTGGTTTCCGCCTGATCCCCGCAGGCCAGGCTGAGGGACCCTGGGCCTCTAGTATTCCATAAATATTTATATAGTGCCTTACACATTGGAAATACTAAGAAAAAATAATGGAATTGAACTCGCAATGGGTTTTTCCCTGGAAGCATTGCCTATGTACATGCTGGTTGACTAATTTAAATTAATAGCAATACACCCTTGACTGCCCAGGGCCATTGGAGAATATACAATCCTAAATATATTGAGTAATATCTTGAGTATCCCTCAAATTTTAGCAAAATTTTAGCTGTATATATATATTTTTAAATATATTTTATTGATTTGTACAGAGAGAAAGGGAGAGAGAGAGTTAAAAACATCAATGAGAGAGAGTCATCGGTCAGCTGCCTCTTGCACACCCCCTACTGGGGATGTGCCTGCAACCAAGGTACATGCCCTTGACCGGAATTGAACCCGGGACCTTTCAGTCCCCAAGCTGATGCTCTATCCATTGAGCCAAACCGGTTTCGGCTAGCTATATATTTTTAGGTAGATTATGTTCTTAACTGCTGTTGTAAGCTTAATGTACTAAGGCATTCTTTAGTTATTTTATAATGACATTTATGTGAACACTCAGTTTTACATTGTACTATTGTAGTTTACCTTAAGACTCACTAAAATTTGGGGAAATTACTTGACTCCTTGTTAACTGGCCACACCATATATGGTTTGTTTTTCTGTTTTTGCCATGAAACCCAAATTTCTTACTATGGCCTACATAGTTTAAATTGGCTGCTTTCTAAACTAAACAGGGAACCTTACTAGCACATATAGTAAGATTCTCTGAGGAAATGAGCTTAAGTTCCAAATAGTCGATTCTGTACTTCCTGATGGGAACAAGTCCCTTCCTAAGTTGGAGACAAAGTGAAATTGATATTCTGAGAAGGAAGGAAATGAATAGATACCATAAAACATACTACTTATGAATGTATTTAAACATATAAAACATAGGTTTTGTTTAAAGCATTAAGACAAATAGAAAAGATGCCGAAACCGGTTTGGCTCAGTGGATAGAGCGTCGGCCTGCGGATTGAAGGGTCCCGGGTTCGATTCCGGTTGGGGGCACGTACCTTGGTTGCGGGCACATCCCCATTGAGGGATGCAAGAGGCAGCTGGTCAATGTTTCTCTCTCATCGACGTTTCTAACTCTATCCCTCTCAATTCCTCTCTGTTTAAAAATCAATAAAATATATATATAAAAAAAAAAAAGACAAATAGAAAAGAGGCTTTTTTGATATCTTTGACATTGCACCAGATAACAGATCAATATAAATGTTAATAAATTCAATCTGGGTATTTGTAATTTATTGAATGTGATATTTCCTAAAGTTTAAATTTTGTTTAAAGTATATAGGGCATGACTAGAAACAATAGATGCCCTGCGAAGGAAAACTGGATAACTGGAAGATAGGAATAGAAGGAAAGCTTACTTTTTATTAGGCTTTTTTTGTACTTTTAGTTATTCTTATTTGAACTCTTCATTTTGAAATAGTGGCATACTTACAAAAAGCTATAGAAATAGTTTTGAGAATACCCTTCTCTAAGAACTAAAATTTTATATAATTAAACAATACAGTTATCAAAATTAGGAAATTAATATTGACATAGTACTCTACATTGATATAGTAATCTACAGACCTATTCAGATTCCTCAATTGTCCCAATAATATCTTTTATTCTGGCCCAGGATCTATTCCAGGATTAGACATTCCAGTCAGTTGTCATGTCTGCTTAGTTTTCTTTAATGTGGGGCAGTTCCTTAGTCTTTCTATTGTTTTCATAATCTAGATACTTTTGAACTGTTATTTTATAGACTCCCTCAATTTGGCTTGTCTGGTGTTTCCTTATGATTAGATTATACACTTTGACAGGTATATTATATACAAAAATGGTGGTGTGCCCTTCTCCGTGTATCTTAATAGGAGGCACATAAGTTAATATGCTTATTATTGGTTAACTTCAATCACTTAGTTAAGATAGTGTTTTTCTGTTTCTCTACTGTGAAATTATTTTTCTTTGTTATTGATAAATATCTTGTGGGGAGAGGTATTGAGACTATGTAAGTGTTCCGTTAAAATACAGTGTAAGCCCTAGCTGGTGTTACTCAGCGGTTAGAGTGTCAGCCCCTCACACTGAAGGGTCTCAGGTTCGATTCCTGTTCAAGGGGCATATACTAGAGTCCCGGGTCTGCACCCCAGGCCTAGTTGGATGCATGTGGAGGCGACCAATCAATGTGTCTCACATTGTTATTTCTCTCTCTCCCTCCCTCTCTCCCACTTTCTCTAAAAATATCTTTGTGTGAAGATTTAAAAAAAAAAATACAGTTTAATAAATATTATACAGTATTTGGTTTGGTTAGATTTTAAGTTACATATTACATCATTGATTCCAGCATATGTTAACTTACACGGAGGACAATTGTATTCTTAGGACCCTACTATTTACTTGTAAATGCAAGGCCACAGCCAAGTTACCAGTGAATTAAGTAAGTGTTCTTGTTCCCTCTTAACTCTAACCTACTGATTCTCTTCCTTCCCTTTTAAAACAAAGTTTATTATTAATGTGGTAGCAAGCTGGAATCCACTGTTTGCATAATGTGAAATCAGATAGCAGAATTGACTGTACTCGCTTTCAGAGCATAGCCATATGCATTTATTTAGGAGTGCCTCTTGATAAATGAATGTCAGTGTTTATAAGACAAAGAGTCTTGTGTATTTTCCAACAGCTACTGTAAAGTGATTTGTTCCTCAGAGGTTTTCTCTGAAGATAATATTGATAACTATTAAAATGACATGAAGGATAAGACTGCTTGAGCCCACACATGCCCTTTTAGCTGTGAAACAAGTGCAGTTTCAGAATGAGGTTTATTATTACTTACAAGAATCTAAAATATTTTTCATTATTTTTTCAACTGTTGGAAGTGTTGGCACATAATTATCATGTAATATATACTATGTATGTGTGAGTTGGTATAAGAGGGGAATGAGGGAAAGATCAGAGAGAGCTTATTGTTTCCCCTTTTGTGAACAAAAACAAAGGGCACTTCTTTTTTTTTAAATTTTTTTTAGATATATATTTTATTGATTTTTTACAGAGAGGGAGGAAGAGAAATAGACAGCTAGAAACGTTGATAAGAGAGAAGCATCGACCAGCTGCCTCTTGCACACCCCCTACCAGGGATGTGCCCACAACCAATGTACATGCCCTTGACTGGAATCGAACCTGGGACCCTTCAGTCCGCAGACCGACGCTCTACCACTGAGCCAAACCGGCTTCGGCAGGGTACTTCTTAAAAATATTTTTTTTATTGATTTCAGAGAGGAAGGGAGAGGAAGAAAGAAATAGAAACAGCAATGATGAGAGAGAATCATTGATCAGTTGCCTATTGCATACCCCCATAGGGATCAAGCCCACAACCAGGGCATGTGCCCTGAGCAGGAATTGAACCGTGACCTATTGGTTCATAGATCAGTATTCTGCCACTGCTAATTGGGTAACAAAGGGTCCTTGATTCACGTGTACTACAAGATTTTAGGCTCAAGTTTTTTGTTTTTTTTGTATAGTATTGTAGTTTAGGACCCCTCCCCCCAACCCCTAAATGTCATTTGTAATATTCTTTATTTTGGAGAATTTATAAGCTTTGCAAAAGTCCATTATTAAGCTGGATGGACAGTATTATTTTTGTAAATTGCTCTACTTTATCTAATAATAAAGTTGTCTATCTCTTTTTAGGATATTTTCTTTTCTGGATGTTGTTACCTTATGTCGCTGTGCTCAGGTCTCCAGGGTAAGAATGCTTGACATAATTAGAGGGGTACCCTTTCCTGACATTGATAATATCAGTAGTAGTGAAACTATTTACTTTAGATGTTAGTTGAATGTTGTGTTTCAAAGGATGTTGTTTCAACCATGGCATACCCAAACCTACGTAATTCTACAATTCTACCACATGTACCGTCTTGACTATTTGTATAATACCAGCAGAGGAAACATTTTCCAGGAAAAGATATTAAACATACAAATTAAGAGATTGGTCTCTACTTAGAATTGTAATAAAATAGTGTTTCATTATGTTTTCCTAGTTAATTTTATACACACATATACATATGGAAGGCTCTTGAGGACTGATTCACATGTCAACTCTCCTTATTTTTCTCTCTCAAAAGGTAATAGCTAGTTTTTTTTTAATTGTAGAGCAAACCAGATTCCATTCTCAAATTCAGTTTTTACATTATACTTAATTATTTATTTTTGCCAATTGACTTGCCATGATAAACAGTGAAACATCCTAATTTTATTGGCTGCCACTAATATAAAGAATAAAAACTCTTTTGTGGAAAAACTCTTTATGAACCATTCCTAGTCTATTGTAATACAGATATATAATAATTAACCTATTAAAAGGAATTTGTACTTAGAATTGCCATCTTTTTACAAACTGGACAATGGTACAATCCTAGGTCCTGGATATGTAATAATGGTTATGTCATAGATCAAGTATTGTGTTTTATCTTTATAGGTAGACCTGGGTTTTTCTTCAAATTGCCAACACTGCTCTCATCAAACAAAACACAAAATTTGCCATAGAAAATTCACTTTGTCCTGCTATCTTTAATGTAATTTCTACATCCTAAAAGCTATACACTAAATTTGTACAACAGGTATTTTTTAAACAGTCAATAGTATTTTGATGATTTATGACATTTTTGTCTCTGTACTTGAGTGACATGGCTTTTTGTCTCCATATGAAGCTGTGGTCATCATTGAGAAACAAAATACTCGGACCAGTCACTGTTTTCTATAGTTACTGCATCTAATCTAGCAGTGTGGACTGAATGAATTTTAATTGTTTTCACTCACAGGTGTTTCTTCCCTCTCAGTATGTTTTAATTTAAAAGAAGTAAAGCACAATGCCAGTTTTCAGTAAATCTGGATAATTAGTACATCAGGAGTTACCTTATTATTCTCTGTACTTGGAGTATTTAAATTTTTTTTTTTTAATACTCTGGAAGGAAACCAATCATTCTGAATTTCAGTCTCAGTTTGGCATGTTTCCTTTTGCTAGAGAAAGTGTAGTGTAAGGACATGGGAAATATCAAACCAAATCAGTATATTTAGCCCAAGAATCTAGTAAACATATGAACTTTAAAAGTTTGATCTGTTTTCTCCCATAGCTAGCCATTTAAGAAACCATTGGAAAAATATGAAGCTACAAAAAGAAAAGTAACATTGAACTCTCAAGAAAACCTTAAAAGATTTCCAGATTAATAACTTTGTTTACTTTCATACCCCTGACTTATTTTTGCTGATTGTGTGACAGTTATCCTGGGGTCAATAAGTGTATCCACAGTTTTTTAAAATTTCAGTTTAAATCTATATCTTGAATGTTTATATAATAGTAAGAGATAATATTCTAAGTTTATAGCTTAACAATATTAAGACTTTTGTTTATACTTTAAACTCAGTAGGGAAAACTTTTAAAGACTTTCTTATTAAAATACAACAAATTAACTCTGAATCTTTTTCCACCTAATCCTGAAAAGTTGAAAAGCTTAGAAACTTTCTTACCTTCCTTTAGCTTATAAAAAAATGTATGAGAAGTCTTCAAACTTTCACTGTTTTGTAGTGATCCTGAATTAAGTTTGAGGGAAAGGTGACCAATCGAAAAACATGCCTGAGTGAGCAAATTGGTCTCAAGGAAAGCATTAAGGCTCTATCAGGTATACAGAAAAATTACTGTCTTTTCAAAGTCCCAGATTACCATATCTCAGTTTTAAGTCTGACCAAGTGATGCTATAGATAGCAAATAGGTATTGAACATAGTAATATTCATTATACTGTCCTCTTTCTTTGATTTTACCCTCATCTTGATCCTTATGGAGAGAGAGAGAGAGAAACGGGCTTACTTTTCATCCGCTTAACTATCTCCTTGGGATGAGAAACTAGAATCTTCCAGTTAGAAAACAGTTTCTGACTAGGATATATACTATAGCCTCTTCTCTTCCCAAGCTCCTAAAATCTATTGTAGCTCTACCCACTCATTTATGAGATATTCTCATTGGAGAGTAAAGTATGAATAAGAAGGCAGACTTACTGGGTGTTAACAGTGGGGACTGAGGAATTTTCTCATCAATTTCAATCATTAGTAGAATGAATTGTGGACACAAATATTGCTGGGTTTTCTCCTTTGTTCCAGCTCCTGCTCATTCTGTCTCTTTTTCTTCTAAATAGGCCTGGAATGTTCTGGCTCTAGATGGCAGTAACTGGCAGCGAATTGACCTGTTCGATTTCCAGAGGGATATTGAGGTATAATTATGTGGTGTGTAGCCCCATTTCTCTTGTTAGGATATAATTACAGCATGGAACAGATTAGTGCAACCATATAAATCTTCTTTCCCTGGAGAGATAAAGTGTTAATTTTGGTGCATATGAACTGCATGGGAGCCTGTAATGTTCCCACAAACTTATTCTTTGAGTCTTTGCAAATGAACAGAATTATTTAATTGAAATACTATTTGTATAAATGAGACAAAAAAATTTTTTGTGGTGAAAATATGAACCTGTATTTGCCCATTTTAAGGAAGTCTTTTTATATTTATTGACGAATCAGTTAACTTGTTGAGGTATGATATTTGTATAAATTCTTCTTGATGGGCGTTTTGGTTACTGGAAAGATTATAAATAGTTGTTGTGGAGAATGAAAAAAAAAAAAAAGTCAAAAGCCATTTATTGAATTATTTTACTGGAGATTCCCCCCCTTTTTTTCTTCTTCTCTCTATATTTTATCTCTTAGTATTGTTTATTCTTTCTAAAATGGAGAAGCATAGTAGCTTAAACTTAAATTATTTTAACCTCAATTTGAGCTCTGTGGTCCTTGGTTTTCTCGTCAAAAGGGTGAAAATAGTAAGAGTCCTGATCCTATATAATAAAAGGTTAATATGCAAATTGTCCCTGTGGGAGTTCTACTGACTCAGTTTGACCACTAGTTATGACATGTGTTGACCACTGGGGGGCAGTGCAGAACGAAGGAAGTCCCCAGCCGGCAGCCAGCAGCCAGGGGAAGGAAGGCCTAGGGACCCTACCTGGGCACGAATTTTGTGCACTGGGCCTTTAATTGTGTTACAAGAATTAAATAAATTTCTGCCGAGACTGGTTTGGCTCAATGGATAGAGCGTCGGTCTGCGGATTGAAGGGTCCCGGGTTCGATTCCCTGGTCAAGGGCATGTACCTTGGTTGTGGGCATATCCCCAGTGGGGGGTGTCAAGAGGCAGCTGACCAATGACTCTCTCTCATTGATGTTTCTAACTATCTTCTCCTTTCCTCTCTGTACAAAATCAATAAAATATATTAAAAAAAATTTTTTTTCACTGGAACTTAATTATCTTAAAGATCCATGTAAGGGTTTGAAAGAAAAAAAAAAAGCCTCACATGAACTTTCCATTCTCTTTTTTTTTTTTTTTTTTTTAATAATTTTATTGATTTTGTACAGAGAGGAAGGGAGAGAGATAGTTAGAAACATCTATGAGAGAGAGTCATCGATCAGCTGCCTCTTGCACACCCCCCACTGGGGATATGCCCGCAACCAAGGCACATGCCCCTGACCAGAATCGAACCCGGGACCCTTCAGTCCCCAAGCTGACGCTCTATCCACTGAGCCAAACCGGTTTTGGCTCCATTATCTTTAAAAGTGCCTTTAAAATATTATCCATTGACATTAAACTATATTTTTATGTTTTTCACAATTATTTAATCTAATGGAAGTGATTGCTTAAAGCAACATGGCCTACACAATGATTCAGTAGCTGCAGTTTAATTAGAAGGCAGTTGGGCAATCTACTTTATAATAATAATGTTTTCAAAATCAATGTGATGACTTATCTTTTTTTTACCTGTCTATATTTTACAGGGCCGGGTAGTGGAGAATATTTCAAAAAGATGTGGGGGCTTTTTACGAAAGTTAAGTCTTCGTGGGTGTCTTGGAGTAGGAGACAATGCATTAAGGTAAGAACATAACGATTAACTGATCATAACTGAAGTAAAGAAAGCACCATCTCATCCAGAAAAGGTTAAAATGGTTTTAAGCTTTTTATAAAGAAAGTTATTGCTTTCTTTAAGCTATTCTGAACTCATACACATGTACATTGCTATTCTGAACTCAAACACATGTACATTGCTTATAGCACAAAGTGGGATGTAGGATTTTGAGAATAAAACAAGAACCAATGTCCCCTCCAAAAAAGCCAAATTTCCTATCATAAATAGTTCTTTTGAAGCCTTGAGTAAATTTTGGGTTTTGTTTTGTTGTTGTTTTTTCTCAAAGTTAAGGTAATTTTAACCTTGGTTGACAAAAAGATCAATGTTAAAAGTTTGTGGTTGAGCCCTAGCTGGTTTGGCACAATGAATAGAATGTCAGCTCTCGGACTGAAGGGTCATGGGTTCGATTCCGGTCAAAGGCACATACCTTGGTTGCAGGCTTGATCTCTGAATGGCTCTAGTTGGGGTGCTTGCAGGAGGTAACCCGTCAGTGTGTCTTTCATATCAATGTTTCTCTCTCTCCCTAGGAAATTAATAGAAAAATATCCTCATGTGAGGTTTAACTCCCCAAACTCCCTTCCCAAAAAGGTGTTTATGGTTGAAAATTAATTTATTTGTGATTGTGAAATACTTTTGTACCAAATATCCAATATTACCAATAATATGTACACACACACACACACACACACACACACACACACACACACACACATGAATTGTGCCTGTTTCATTTCAAACCTTTTGTTTTTGTTTTTCTGTGAAGGACCTTTGCACAAAACTGTAGGAACATTGAAGTACTAAATTTAAATGGGTGTACAAAGACTACAGACGCGTAAGTATTTTGTGTTTTAGAAAGGTAAATCATAGCCCTTTGTGTCTTGCCTAAAGAGGCTTTAAATGCATGCTACTAAATACATTTAGCATATTTCATTTTGGTATTATGGAAGAAAGATATTTTAAAAGGAGAAAGTAACAAAGTAGCAATGAAATAAGGCATTTATTTTGGAATCGGCGCAAATCCTATCTTGCTCTTTTAAGTGAAACTTAAAAATTGTAGTCAATGAATATGCAGTAGGGATAATAATGATATAAGTTACTAGGACAGCTTATATTTTAAGAAGATAGTAATGGCTGTCATTCAAAAGACATAGTAAACAGATAATTTTATAAAAACATGTAAAATCTTGCAAATGGGACTAAACATGATAATCAGTATTGAGAGTATTGATTAAATGACTTTAAATGTACTGTGTTTGTATTGGTCATAATATAAAAGAAATAAGTTCTGATCCTTCATCCTTGAGAGTTTATCATCACAGACACAATAGACATCAAAGGTAAACACTTTTTAAAAGCTCAAGAATATCTATTGGTAAAATATCAAGTAACATTTACATATTAGGTAGGGAAATTATTGCCTATTGTGAGGGGAAGCCATTGGAGAATTATGCTTTCACAGAGAATGGCCAGAATTATTCACGGGATTTTCCTGTTCAAAAAGTCCTCATAAAAGAGATATTTTTAGAATTGCTTGAATGAAGGAAAGTGGATGACACTCCAAGCACAGGGGCATATTATTTATTTTATTTCTTTGAGGTCACAACCTTGTTCACTTTTAAAATAGGAAAGTGTTTGCCCTGACTGGTTTGGCTCAGTGGATAGAGCGTCGGCCTGCGGACTCAAGAGTTCCGGGTTCGATTCCGGTCAAGGGCATGTACTTCGGTTGCGGGCCCATCGCCGGTGGGCGGTGCGCAGGAGGCAGCTAATCGATGTTTCTCTCTCATCGATGTTTCTAACTCTCTATCCCTCTCCTTTCCTCTCTGTAAAAAATCAATAAAATATATATTTTTTTAAAATAATAATAAAATAGGAAAGTGTTTGAAAGACAAGGACTATGGTTATTAACAAGTATTACTCCTATGGGTTGATTTAGAAATCTTGAATAGAAGAGATTATTTACTGACCTCTCTTCCAACTATGACTTTATTTACTTTAGATAAATTACCTGTTTATTTTTTCTTTTGAATACTTAATGTAATACAAATTAAGAATTTGACCACTTGGTATCTAAAAAGTGAGGTATAATTTACACATTTTTCTAGGAATTTATATACCAAAGATACACTAATAAAAATGTATTACGACTTATGTACAAAGCTATTCATTCTTACTATTTATAATAGCACATACTGCATTATTATTTTTTTAAATGTTTTAATTTAGTTTTAGAGAGAGTAAGTGAGAAAAGAAACATTGGTGAGAGCGAGAGAAACATTGATTGGCTGCCTCTCACACACTCCCTACTGGGGATCAAGCCCATGACCTCCTAATTCATAGGTCAACGCTCAATCACTGAGCCACACCAGCCGGGCAATACTGCATTATTCTTAATAGCAAATGACAGAAAACAATCCAAATGTCTATTAGTAGATGTCTGGTTAAAAAGAAGGGAATGAACCCTAGCCAATTTGGCTCAATAATAAAGCGTCTGCCTAGAGACTGTAGAGTCCTGGGTTTCATTCCGGTCAAGGACATGTACCTTGGTTGCAGGTTCCCTGGCCCTGGTTGGTGCGTGCAGGAGGCAGCCAATAGATGTGTCTCTCTCACATCAATGTTTCTCTCTGTTTCTCCCTTTTCCTTCCACTTTTTCTAAAAATTAATGGAAAAATATCCTCTGGTGAGGATTATCAAACAACAAAAAATAAGGAATGAGGAGAGTCTTTCTATAGTACACTGGAGTGATTGCTAGGACATACTGTTAAAAAAGCAAGTTGCAGAAGAATTTGTATAATAAGATACCTTTTGTAGGGCCAGGGGATATAATCCAAATATATATTCCTATTTATTAGTATTTTCCAGAAGAAGCAATGGAAAGGTAATCAAAAACTAATAAAAATGGTTATCTATGGGGGAGAGAACACCAAGAGACAGGAATGAAAGACTTCTGAAGTATCATGTTTTATACCTTAATAGCTATGTAAATGTTCTACATAATTAAAACATGAATTAAGCTAAAAAGAAATCAAAGCTCCAAAACAGGTTTGGCTCAGTGGATAGAATGTCAGACTGTGGACTGAAAGTTCTGGGTTCGATTCCGGTCAAGGGCATGTACCTTGGTTGCGGGCACATCCCCAGTAGGGGTGTGCAGGAGGCAGCTGATTGATGTTTCTCTCACATCGATATTTCTAACTCTCTCTCTCCCTTCCTCTCTGTAAAAAAAATCAATAAAATATATATTTTTAAAAAAATAAAGAAATCAAAGCAGTCCCTAACAATCCAAACAAAACACATGAACTCAGCCTTACCAAACTGAAGCTATAACCACCAGAGAGAAATTACTTCTACTGACTTGATTTCTTAGAACACATTTTAAGCATATGCCAAAGTAGACAAAATTGAACTCAATGAGCCATCTTCAAATTGGTAATTGAGAAATTATTACTTATTGGCTAGTCTTGTGTCAGCTTATCCCCTCATTTGTTTTGAAAAACGTCTTAGACATTATATTATTTAATCAATTATATTATTTAATGCATTTCTAAAAGTTAAAGGCTGGGTCTGTTTTTTCTATTCCTTCTGTGATCTCCCTGGGGAAAACCCTCCCACACATACAGAATTTTCAGCATTCAGTCAGAAATTACAACACATGCAATGAAGCGGGAAATGATATCAGAAAAAGAACCAGAAAGAAAAACCAGTCAATAGAAACAGACCCAGAAATGACAGAGATGATAAAATTGACCAATAAAGAGTTTGAAAATAGAAATAACAAATATGCTAAAAGTGTTTAAAGATAACACAGAGATTAAAGGGATGGGAAGAGATATATTATTACAAACACTAGTCACAGGAAAGTTGAAGTGGCTATTAATATCAGTTGATGATGTAAACTTTAGAGAAAAGAGTGGATGGAAAAGATATTAAGTGGTACCCTCCTCTTTCAGTAAATGATTAAATTTGTATATCAAAACCAGTAAAATTATAGAACACTTGAGCAACATTATCAGTGAACTTGTCCTAATTGACATTTATAGAATGCTATACCAAAAAGCACCAGAATAAGCTTTTCAAGTGCACTTGGAATATTCAATAATACACACCAAGTAATGGGCCATGAAACAAATTTTAATACATTTAGAAGAATTGAAATTCTATTGAATGTGTTTTATAGCATTAAAGGTATTTAAGTAGCAACACATTTAAGTAAAGTAAAAATTAAATATCACCCTCTGAATAACCTATGGATCAAGGAATAAATTACAAAGGAAACTAGAAAATATGTATTGCTGTGTGATAATGAAAACACAACATCGAGACTTGTAAAATGCACCAAATGCAGTGAAGTGCTTAGGGAAAAGTGTATAGCTTTAAATATGTATACAGATTTCCCCTGCTATCAAAGTCCTTAGGAAACCTTTCTTAAGCCAAATTTATATAAAATAATGAAACTTTGGACACTTTAAGAGATGAACAAACTAAACTGAGATAAAGCACAGAAGCTCAGAGTTCAAAGCCAGGGTGGCTTGCCTTAGCCAATGTGGCTCGGTTGATTGGAGCGTCTTCCCATACACTGAAAGATGGCAGCTGGATTCCTGGTCAGGCACATATCCAGATCGTGGGTTAAATACCTGTCAGGGTACGTACAGGAGGCAACCAATCCGTGTTTCTCTCTTTTTCCTTTACTTTCTCTGACATATAAAAATGTCAGATTAGTTCTTAACTTTGGACTATGTAACAGTAGGTAACTGATGAGATTTACTGTCCTCTAGAAAAAAAGACCAAAAGCCACATGATCATCCCAGTGTGATAAGCAGCCTCTAAAAAGGCCCCCAGTAATTCCTACTTTCCTAGTATTCACACCCTTGTGAAGGTCCCCTGCATGCACTGCACCTAATTCTCATTTCTAATAATAGAATACAGCAAAAGGGATTGGGTGTCACTTTGGAGATTAGGTTACAAAAAGATTGTGGCTTCTCTCTTGCTCTACTTTTTCTCAGGGTTCTGACTTGGGGTGGGGGGTAGCAGGGCAAGTTGCCCTGTTTTGAGTAGTTCTGTAGAGAGGCCCATGTGTCTAGGAAGTGAGGTCTCTGGCCAAGGGCCAGTGAGGACCTAAAGCCTACCAAAAAGTAAACTGAGTGAAATTGGAATTGGGTCTTCTGAGGTTTGCCAAAAACTACTTAAATGAGTTTGGAAGGGAATCTGTATTCATTTAACCTTTGAGATGACTGCAATCATGATTGCCAATCCCTTGATTACAGTCTTGTGAGAGATCCTGAGTTAGAGGCACCCTGCTAAGCTGCCTGTGCAGGTATTCCTGGCCCACAAAATCTGTGAGATAATAAATGTTTGTTGTTTTTAGCTTCTCACTTTGGGGCAATCTATAATGCAATAGATAATTAGTTCATTATTAGATAAAAAAGCACATAACAAAATCCAGCACCCATTCATGATAAAGATTCTCAACAAACTAGGAATAGAAGGCCATTCCCTCAATCTGTTCAAAGGTGTCTATGAAAAACTTAATGCTAGCCACCACACTTTAATGGTGAAACACTGAATGTTAACTCTTGCCATTTCTATTTAACGTCGTTCTGGAGATTCTGACCAGTGCAGTATGTTTATTATAGAATTACAAAGTAAAAGCCCAATAGAAGATTATATTCCATACCCACTAAATTGGCTATAATAAAAAAGGAGGGGGAACCAATATCAAGTATTTGGCTAAGATGTGGAGAAACTGGGGCCTCCATAGGTTGCTGGTGAGAATCTAAAATGGTACAGCCGCTTTAGAAAGCAGTTTAGCATTTCTTTGAAAGTCAAATTTAAACTTAGTATAGGAGCTGGCAACTCCCCTACACATCTAGCCAGGAGAAACGAAGTACAGGTCCACACAAAAACATAAGAAACATCTGCCAAGTAGAATATATGGTTCTTATTTAGGTCCTAATTTGATCAAATCAACTTGACAAAGGCATTATGAGAGAATTGGGGGAAATTAAATATAGTGATGATATCAGATATTAAGGAACTAAAGTTCTTATCTATTAAAAATATGTCCTGAAATATTTACAGGTGAAATATGTCTGGGATTTGCTTTAAAATATTGGAACGAAAAAAGAGTAATGGGTAAAATAGAAATAGAATATTGATAAATGTAGAAGCATAATGATGGTACATGTGCTTTTTCTGATACTCATTCTTTTGTATATTTGAAATTTTTCATAAATGAAAAAATTTAAACTGAAGCCTTGACCATTATAAAAAGAGCCACTAAGAAAAACATAAAGGAAAGTAGGAAGTAATGTTACGTAACTTGTTTCAGCCCAGCACTGGTCCATCCTCTCTGTATCTTGCGAAAATTCAGTTCTTACTGCCATGCAAGAAGTGATCTTGAGCAGAGATTTAAGTGAAAGAGCAGAGACAGAGCTTTCAGTCTTCTTGTCTCACCGCTTGCTCGCAGGTAGTAGCTTTCTTAAGTTCCTGAATTGCAAAGTGCATCTAGATCTTTTTATCAGCACATACGCAGTTTGCTTTTAGTAGCTATTAGTATTTCCAAAAGTGAATAAAGCACCATCTTCCCCTCATACAAATTCTCATACACATCACAGCCTTTTTTCATCCTTTATAAAGGCCACTGGTTTTCTTCCTCAATGTGAAAGGTTCCAGGATTTATAGCTGCTTTTATTGGGGATATGGAAATTTTACAGTTCTTAAATATAGACATGTATTTAATGAAAATCGTGTATGATATACTAAGGATGTATTATTATTTGTTTGTTTATTATTTTCTCCTTTTTCCATTTTTCAGTACATGTACTAGCCTTAGCAAGTTCTGTTCCAAACTCAGGCACCTTGACTTGGCTTCCTGTACATCAATAACAAACATGTCTCTAAAAGCTCTGAGGTAAATTCCTTAAGATAAGATTGTCCAACAATCAGAACAAATACTTATTAAAAAAATAATAACTGACATAAAGTTGGAATTGAAGGAAACTATATTTTATGGATACATACAACGGTTTAGAATAGATCTTTACTCACTTGCCCAATTATAGGACAGGTGAAACGACTGAGGTAAGTAGGGTTTATTTATACGTGAGTGATTATTGTTGTTTTCATGGAGGCTTTCTCCCTGCTTCCCCAAAAATGATTCATAGTTTCACTTAGTGGTTAAAGGAGTGCTCTGGATTAGGTCAGTAATTAGGTACCTTGAACAAATGTAGTCCTTGTGAGTTTTTCCTTGTCATCTCAGGTTTGTTACTAGGATTAAACCATATTATCATTATTTGATAACATTAAGCCGAACCATATAAAGTTGTCAATATTTCAACAGCTTTTGTCTTTAAAAATGACAGTTTCATGTGTTTTAACTTAATATATATAAATTTCTTAGCATATAGTAAGCACTCAATAAGTTATCATTGTTTTAATGATACTGTATTTTTTTAAAAATACATTGCAGAAAATATATCTTAAAAGGAAGGTGAGATGCCTGTTCTCTTTGTAACTTTGTTTTTTATCAGGCTTTTATGGTTCTATATATTGGTTACATTTATGAATAATAAGAATTAAGCTACTAAAAGGTTTAGTTAAGTAGAATATAAGTAATCTAAAAATGGGGCTCCTAGACTTTCCTTGTGAATATTAAGCAGATATGTATCTAAGGCTGTTTGCTATATAGGATGATACCATAATATAATAACATTTAGAGTTTTCAAAATATTCACATAAATGATCTCATTTATTTGAAAACCTTGTGTGGTAGATAACCTTGTGAGGTAGATATAGATAGTGTCTACTTTACAGACTGAAAATCTAAAACTTTAGTAAATACCAGGTAATGTAACTGAATAAGATACTGTTGTTGCCCTTAAGTTTCTCAGAATCTAGTGGGAGAAAAAAACAACACACTAAACATGTCATCATGTTACAGTGTGGCAATAGAAGCAATACAGTGCTGTGATAGAAGTATGGTCAGCAGTTTGGGGAGAACATATCTAGATGTGGCTGTGGCTAATCTTGGTTAAAAGAGGTTCAGGCAGGCTTCCTGAAGTGACTTGCTGGAAGTCCTATTAATGTTGAAGAATGGGCTTGAACCAAGATCCCCTGGTTTTATTTTATAAATTGGTTAAATCAGTATTTTCCAAAGAATGTTATAGAGCTTTGGATTCTTCCATAAATCATATGTGAAATCAAAGCTCAAAGATAAAGCTAGTATAGAAGCTAGAGATCAAATGCAACATATTTTAAATTCAGCCTATAGAAGTAATACTCTAGATACTTCCTAAATAAGTAATACTTATAGGTCCCCTGTAATTTTTAAAATAAAAGTTTAAATGTCCTCATTAGTACTTTGATAAGTAATAAAATTATTTGATAGAGAATCTGAGTTTGGCTCTAAACTTTATTAACTACTTGCTCAACTTAAGTCACTTAATTTTTGTTTCCTATCTATGAAACTTATAAATATGTGATAGTACAAAAAGAATATAATTTGAAAAGTATATACCTCCATTAAAATCTAACATACCTGGAAACAATGTTGTGTTTGGTGTTTGTTAGTTAAGCTGGATTTGAGCTATCCCTCCTAGTGATATAGTTCACACAAACGAACACCACAGACATCAATAAACTCACTTTTGCAATTAGGAGATTGCCTGTGTTCTAAATCTATATTACATAAATACGTATATTCTTGGAAGATCATGGGGCTCTATCCATTTCCCAACTAAGTGGCCAATAAAATGAGACTTTGGTGCCTTTGGAATTGGATTTAGTCATGTGTTTGTTTCATTTTGTTTTAACCAAGTGAGGGATGTCCACTGTTGGAGCAATTGAACATTTCCTGGTGTGACCAAGTAACCAAGGATGGCATCCAAGCACTAGTGAGAGGCTGTGGGGGTCTGAAAGCCTTATTCTTAAAAGGCTGCACACAGGTAATACTCTATGTGGTGCTTGTGAATGATAGTGAAACTTAAAGAATATGTAATTGTTTTGTGTTACTGACCAAAGACATATTTACCAAAAATTACTGTTTTCCTTAGAGTAAAAAATAAAAAAAGAGAAGAAGGAACACCTGACCAAAGATAAATTTTGGGTTTGAGGGGAGGCAGACTGGAGAGACAAAAATCATACTGAGCAAGCACCATAGGCAGGAAGGATTTGATGCAATTTAATCTGAAAAGAAAACTTGCGTATTGTTACTGCCTGAGACTTGAACTGGATAGACAAGGAAGGCTATCTTGATAATTTTCACTGGTTTTTAAACCACCAGAAGCTTTTCTTAAATGTACCAAGTATACAGCAACCTACATTTTATAGTGTTTATGCCTATTTCCTGCCAGTCACATTACAAATTCAACATTTTGTCATTACTGGAAGGCATTGGCATGGGAATAATCAAGAATGGGTCTCGAAGTGACTGACTCTCATTACCTTATTTTTTTTTAATGATTACTCAAACCATGTCTTGAATTCCATTAAAAATGCCTTCATTTCCCCCCCACCCCCCCACGATGGGAGATGTTCCATTGTTTGAAACAAAGCTTTGGAAGTATGACTACCTTCAAACAACAGCTTGCACTTCTGGTTATTTATGGAATCCTGAAAAATAGTGATTGGAACACATCATTACAATCAATTACTTGCCATCTGCTGTACTCATGGCACTGTACTCATGGCACTCATCTTCCAGCAGCAGATAAACTGTGGGTTCCTTTCTTAGCTCCTGCTCCCAAAAATACAGGGAGTGTAGAAATGTGAAAATTCTTTTAGGTTCCTAAATGCTCAGCAAAATGCTGTAAAGCATATTTATCAAAAGAAAAATCCTCAAACATTAGGAAATGTTTATTTTTTCTTGATTTTATGATAATAAGAATTTGATATGGTAAGAACTGCCCTGACCGGTTTGGCTCAGTGGATAGAGTGTTGGCCTGCAGACTGAAGGGTCCCAGGTTCAACTCCAGTCAAGGGCATGTATCTATCTTGGTTGTGGGCACATCCCCAGGAGGGGGTGTGCAGGAGGCAGCTGATCAGTATTTCTCTCTCATCAATGTTTCCAACTGTCTATTCCTCTCCCTTCCTCTCTGTAAAAAATCAGTAAAATATATTAAAAAAATAAAACATACTGATCATATAAATTACACCTTTATGTGACCATGGTTCATTGTTCCTTTGAACAATGAATTTGATTGGCTATATTTAAAATATATTGATGAATGTGTACACTCTTAAACCTTTATCTTTTGAAACAGTGTCAGTAATTATTTTTCTCTCTCATTTAATCTCTCTAGCTAGAAGATGAAGCTCTCAAGTACATAGGTGCACACTGTCCTGAACTGGTGACTTTGAACTTGCAGACCTGCTTGGTAAGCAGCCCTTCCCACAGCTCTTCTGTATTACTAATTATTACTGTAATAGTTTCAGTCATGAAGGCCAGTTGTTTTTCCCCTTTAACCCAGGGGACAGTAGTTAGATGACTATTTACTTGCTTAATGATAGTCCAGGGCCTTTTTAAAAACATATTTTTATTTTAGAGGGACAGGGAGAGGGAGAGAGAAACAGAAATATCAATGCGAAACATTGATTGCTTGCCCCCTATTGGAGATCGAACTTTCAGCCTGGGCATGTGCCCTGACTGGGAAAGTGTTCCAATAACTCTTGGTTCATAGGTCGACACTCCATCATTGAGACACATTGGCTGGGCTCTCTCAGGGACTTTGACATAAATAAATGGGTAGTTTATTCAGAATTCTAAATTCTCAATAGGCTAACTATAACTTCCTCCTTTTCTTTTCTATTTAAGACTACTATGTAGGATTAAGTCATTCACAAGCTTCAGTATTTAAAAATATTTTTGGTAAGCTCCTTTTCCTTTAGGACTGCTACCTGATTAATATTAAATCTGCTTTTATTTCTTTCTGGTACTTTTCACAGGTGACATTTTTTCCTTTTCTGCAAAGCTACTAATATCTATGGGGATTTTTTGCTCTTGGTTTTTAGCAAATCACAGATGAAGGTCTCATTACTATATGCAGAGGGTGCCATAAGTTACAGTCCCTCTGTGCCTCCGGCTGCTCCAACATCACGGACGCCATCCTGAATGCTCTTGGTCAGAACTGCCCACGACTTAGGTAAACATTTATTTTATTTTTAAAAATACATTGGGTTTTAGGAGAAAAACCCTACAGATATGTGTTCCACTTATTTATGCTTTTATTGGTTGGTTCTATATTTTCATTTCTATTTTTATATCCTCACCCAAGGATATGTTTATTGATTTTAGAGAGGAAGAGAGAGAGAGAAACGTTGATTGGTTGCCTTCTGTACACACAAAAGCAGGGATGAAACCCACAACCTAGGTGTCTACCTTGACCAGGAGCCCATCCTGCAACCATTTGGTATAGGGACAACGCTCCAACCAAGCCAGGGCCATTGGTTCATTCTTGTATGTACCCTGACTGGGGAATCAAACCCTCGGCATAGTGGGATGACACCTAACTAACTGAACTACCCAGCCAGGGCACATTTCTTGTTTAGCTTAAAAATACTGGGAAAGAACAGAGGCCTCCTTCACTTGGAACCTTGGAATTGTGAAGGTGGACACTGCAAGGCCACTGCCCTCTTAGATGCCCTCCTTCCTGCTTTACACTTTATTGGACTTACATGTAATTGGCCTGAACCAGTGGATAATGTTCTCGGTTTTTTACTTCTTACTAGCCATACTAGAAAAAAAAAAAATCATTTTATTTTATTACTTGAGAAAAGAAAGAGACATTTTCTCTTACTAACTCTTTCATATGTAAGTTGGTTCCCTGCTTACAAGTGGTTCAACTTATGATTCTTTGACTTTATGATGGTGGAAGGTGATATACATAGTAAATAAATTACATAAGATAGTCAACATTTTATTATAAAAATAAGCTCGTGTTAGGCAATTTTACCTAACTGGGGGCTAATGTAAGTGTTCTGAGCACATGTAATGTAGGATTGGGTAAAATTATGATGTTTGGGAGGTTAGGGGTATCGAATGTACTTTTTACTTAACAATATTTTCTTCTTTTGAGGGGTTTGTTTGGACATAACCCCATCACAAGGCAAGGAGTATCTGTAATTCCTTTCTGAAGAAAGTTTTTGAAGGCCTATCCTGTGGTCATTTATATTGTAATAATGATGCTAGATACATAGCAGAAAGTATTTAAAAAGAAAAGACAGCCCTATAGGAGAACCTCCTTTATGCTGATTTATGGTATTTTAGAGCAAGCCTTATTCTTCATGGCTCCACCTCTCTGCCTAATAGAGGATTGGCTAAATATTTATTAAGAATGCTGTGTTGGCATGCACATGGTATCAAACCCATGTTGATTCTGTAAGAGCACACAACACACTGTTTTTAATCTCCATAGACCATCTTTAAACAAATAAAACGTGTATTTATGTGTTAGACATATTTGCCATAGTTTTAAGTGATTCACAAATATTAATTTATTTAATCATCAAACACCACATAAGCCCTGTTATTATCTCCATATTATAGATGAAGAAAACTGAAGCCCAGAGAGGTCAAGTAACCTGTTCAAGGTCTCACAGCTAGAGTAAGTTCAGGAGCAAGGATTCAAACCCAGGCAGTTTGGCTCCAGAAACAACTTGTTTTAGATAGAATAATCATTTATGAAACTTTTTTGTAATCATCTGGCCATAGGTTTAACTGTAATTAGTGAAAGAAATTTGGCTATAGTATCAAAATTCCTTAATAGATTCCTAAATAGACTTGTCAAAATTAGTAATAGAAGCCTAGAGTAGAATTCTATTCAGGAGCTAAGGAGGTAGCCAAACTCCTGTCTAAAAATATTACAAATATTACTCATTTGAGGTCCAGTGCATGAGGAGGGAGGTCCCCTCAGCCCAACCTGTGCCCCCTCACAGTCAAGGACTCCTTGGGGGATGTCCGACTATCAGCTTAGGCCTGTGATCCCTCTTACAGTCCGGGACCCCTTACTCCTTACTGCCCGCCTGCTTGCTGCTCCTTAGCACTGCTATGGAGGTGGGAGCGGCTCGCCATCCACGTGCCTCCTGCACACCCCCCACTGGGGATCGAGCCCACAACCCCAGCATGTACCCTTGACCACAGTTGAACCTGGGACCCTTCAGTCCACAGGCTCTATCCACTGAGCCAAACCGGCTGGGGCTTATCTGGTCCCTTTTTGTTTATTTTTAGTGATTTCAGAGAGGAAGGTAGAGGGAATCATTGATCCACTGCTTCCTGTACACTTCCTATTGGAGATCTAGTCGCAACTGGGCATATGCCGACCTGGAAGCGAACTTTGACTTCCTGCTCTTTAGACCGTCGCTCAACCACATAGACACACTGGCCAAGCTAATTTATCTTTATTGTTGAAAGAATTATATATGCCCCTTTTTTCCTCCTTTGATCCCCTTCACTCCCTCTAATTGATTGTCAGTTGATAATGATTTCTTATACATTAATGGTGGTGTTTTTTAACTTCTGTAAATAATTTGTAAACAAACATAAATATTCTGTGGTACCATAGTGCAGTTGCCACCAAACTTTTCACAGAAAAGATAGGTTTGATTCCTCAGTCCTGTGGTTGGTATTTAGGTTGTTGTGAGCAGTTCCTAAATAAGACAGTGGCTGCCAGCTCAGCTCCCCTCTCCACGGGGCTTCCCTGGGAACCTGTGGGAGGAGGCAAGAAAAGTCAGGCTATTTATTCATAAGTATGGAATTTCATATTTGGGATAGACTTGTAGTTAACAGTTCTTTTATAACATTTAAAAAGTCTATTTAAATCTGAGTGGACCTGCATGTAAAATAGGGAAAGAGAATAGTTTCCTTTAGCAACAGATTAACAGAGTACCGTCTCCATTTCCCTGTTTTCTAGAAGCAGGCTGTCCTCTGGGTGCAAGCAGTATGCCATTAAAGCCTTATTTATTTATTTATTTGCTTTTTTTTTTTTTTTTTAAATAATGCTTTATTGTTGAGAGTATTATATATGTCCTCTTTCTCCTCTCCCCAATAATCCCCTTCAGCCTGTTCTCCCTCCCCTTCCAGGCTTTCAGCACCCTATTGTCTGTGGAGAAGCCTTTTAAATGCATTTTGGCATTTACTACCAGCTTCTCTTATATTCTTCTGATTGCATAAATCCGCACTGTTGTATTTACAGGATCACTTTATGATGACTCCATGAAAATGAATGGCAAGATCTTTATGCAGACTTGCTTAGTTATTAATGTCACTCTATATTATTTAGTCCTTAAGGACTAGGAGGTTGTTTTCTTAAATTCTTGCTGTTTTAATAAATGTGATTTTCAGGCACCAAGGACTTTACTTTCACTTTGGTTTTTTTAACAGAATATTAGAAGTGGCAAGGTGTTCTCAATTAACAGATGTAGGCTTTACCACTCTGGCCAGGGTGAGTATTTTCTCCAGGTTCTACCTAAGTTTTGCTTGGGATTTTTATTTCAGAAGAATGAGCGAGGATGGAGATGTGGAATGGCAGCAGAATTGAGGGCGTGGGGTGTGGGGGAACTTCCCTGTGGCTGATGTTCTGGAGTGTTCTCATGCCACAGCTACTAGCTTGTATAATTATAGTATTTAAAATTATGACTGTTTTTGCTCAATGTAATGGAAGGACTTTTGCTTTAAGGCAAATTTATATTTAACACCACTTAGTTTTCTGGCCTTAAAGTTTCCCCATATTTTAAATGTTTGTATTGTAATGTTTGGTTTTGTGTTTTATAGAATTGCCATGAGCTTGAAAAGATGGACCTGGAAGAGTGTGTTCAAGTAAGATTGTGGGTTTTTACTCAAAATTACAGTATTATAGAAACTTATGTAACATGCACACGAGAATATTCGCTTCCCTCCCCTGGTGTAACGCAGTGTCTGGCAGCACGCTGATTTAATATTGCTGACTCTCCAGGCACACCTAGCAGAGGATCATGGTATCTGTGTCCAGGGGAAAATATAGGTCATCAGTAAGGTTGTCATTGGAAAGAAAGCCCAAACAGTCAAGCCATAAGATATTTCCTTAGACCTCTACAGGGTTTTGATAGTAAATAATTAAAGCCCCATCACACTGATGTATAGCCCTGCCCTTTTTAGCTTAACTGGACGCTAGACCCCTTACATCATTAGCCCTAGACACTTGAGTCTGTATGGAGCTCTGTCCTTCAGGCAGGCAACCAGATACTTCCTTAATAGCAATATCTTTTCTTACCAATTTTAAGAGTTTTGAGATTAGTTGATTGAGGAAAAACTTTGATGGAAGACTCCTAAAAAGAAGATAGAATATCAGTTTTTCTAAATTACCTGTTATCCAACATTACTTAGCAGCTATTAGTTCTTAAACTAAAATTTGTTTTTGTCTGCTTATCTCTTACACATGTTTAGTGTCCTTTTCAGTGTTAGTCCTTCTGAGTGATGTGCACACACCTGTCTGCTCTAGCTCCCCAATGCCTTGACAGTCTATATTAGAATAATGTAATACTTCAGATTTGGAAGAATTTGAAAAGAAGCACTGACTTGCTTTTTGTCCTAAGATAACTGTAAAAGACTATTCTTCCTTTAGGAGTTCTTCCTTCCTGAGTGTCAATAGGTAACTCATATTCCAGCAGCCCCTTTGTGCCACCTTCCTCTTTGGGAAGGCAGCTGGCACCCAAAAAGATAACATTAACCTTTTTTCATGGAGCATTATCTCCCTTTTGTTTTCTGTGATGGTTTTAAGTAAGTAGAACAAAGTATAGTGGGTAGAATATATGCGGAGACAGATTTTCATTCATTTAAAAAATAAAACAGTTTTCAACCAATCTGTTCAAAGATGAAGACTGGAGAATACTAGATATGTCCATGCTTAGTTTCTCAAAGAATGATTCAGATATCTATTGGATATCATCCTCAAGATTTGTTATTTGAGAATTGATATTAGGATATCAGTCGAGATTACAAGTATAGTCAAGAGTGAGGTACAGGTCATGAGGTTTTTTCTTTGGAATTATACATAAAATAAGCTTATGTGTTTCTTTCAGATAACAGATAGCACCTTAATCCAACTTTCTATACACTGTCCTCGACTTCAAGTATTGGTGAGTTTGACTCTGAAAGTTTTATGTGTTTACCAAATTTAAATACATTTTTATTGATTTTTAGAGAGAGAAACGTAGATGTGAGAGAAATGTTGATTGGTTGCTTCCTGCACACACTCCGTTTGGGCACTGAACCTGCAAATGGCATGTGCCCTGATGAGGAATCGAACTGGCAACTTTTCAGTGCATGGGATGATGCTCAACCAACTGAGCCACACCAGCCAGGGCTATTTATTATATTTAGATTTAATCAAAGCCCAACTCTTACTTTCCTCTTGTTATATGTCTACTATTTTGGGAAAGCATATTTTTTTATAAATTGTCAACTTACAGAGGGCCAAGAGAGGAATTAAGAAATGTTAAATGTTTTCTTTATCAGTACCTGGAAATTGAAAACTAATGTGGAAAGTATGAGTTCTCCCTCCCACATGAATGGTGTTAAAATTTCCAGAGGTCCTGGGAGTTGATGGCCAAAAATACAGTTTGCGTCACCTTCGGACCAAAACAGAAGCAATCAAGGCTTTTAATAGGGAGAATTCTCTGCTACTGTTCCTTGTAACACTACGGGAAACAAAGCATTCTGGTTAATCATTCTTTTTTTCTTTTTCTTTTTTTTTGTTACTGATTTCAGAGAGAAGTGGAAAGGGAAAGAAGGATTGAAATTTCAGTGAAGAGAGAGAGAATCATTGATCAGCTATCTTCTGCACACCCCACATTGGGGATTTGAGCTCACAACCCATGCCTATGCTGGAACTGTGACCTGGTTCATAAGTCAACACTTAACCACTGAGTCACACCAGCCGAGCATGGTTAATCATTCTGTATCTAGGTTCATTTTTGGTGTATTTGGTGGCACCTTGCTCTCCAAATTGGGCCAAGGGTTCTGAGTTTCACATGTAGGAACCAGGAACTTAAGGAAAATTGATACAGTGAAGAGATTTATATGAAGAGATAACTTCATCTGACAGCTATCAGAATCAAATTCATTTAATTAACTTGGCATCCCCCTGTACCAGGTAATCGATATATAGTCCAAATTATTGTGCAGGAAAGCTTGAGCCCCTTGTCCCTGTAAAGAAGAAAAGTGTTCATTTGGGGGGGCGGGGTAGTATTTTATTTATGAACTATTTCATAGTCATTACATAAATTTACAAAATATATTTAGAATCACACAGAAATGTCTATCATTGATTGTTAAAAGCAGAACCCCAACAACTCTAGTTTGCTTTATTTACCTGGGTCTAGTGATGGTTCCATATGCATCAAAATCAAACTAGAAAGGTCTCTCTGATGTACATAGGCCTCTGGCTAGAAGAATGCCATAAGATATATCAGTGTCCTTCCTTGCTCTATTTGGCTGCAGAGTCTGTCTCACTGTGAGCTGATCACAGACGATGGAATTCGTCATTTGGGGAATGGGGCCTGTGCTCATGACCAGCTGGAGGTGATTGAACTGGACAACTGCCCACTAATCACAGACGCATCCCTGGAGCACTTGAAGAGCTGTCACAGCCTTGAGCGGATAGAACTCTATGACTGCCAGCAAATCTCACGGGCTGGAATCAAGAGACTCAGGGTAAAGACGGCTGCATCACCCTCCAGCTCTAGTGTTCTCAGCACCCTTTCTCTCTCTGTTTTTTACATTTACTTAGACATTTAGCAAAGATGGGAGAAATGGAGAGCAAATGTTCAGGAAGATAGTTTCAGGTGGAAATGTAGGAAAATACCCACTGAAGGGAAGAAAAGTAGGTCTCCTCCCAGCAGTTTCTCCAGTGATGTCCAGAGTGTAATAACATGCCTGGACTCCAACACATATGCCATATTTTGCTTATAAAGGAAAGAAAATAATAACAAAGAAAATGTTTAATTAAATAGGATTTAAATTTTTAATTTGTATTTTCTTCCATATCAGCCCCTCTTGCTGGGATTTTTATTTATTTTTAAATATGCTTGTATTGATTTTTAGAGAGAGGAGAAGGGAGAGGGAAAGATAGATGAGAGAGAAACATCACTGATTGGCTGCCTCCTATACTCCCCCACTGGGGGTCTAGCCTCAACCCAGCATGTGCCCCAACTGGAAATCAAACCAGTTACCTTTTTGATTTATGGGTCAGTGCTCAACCACTGAACTACACCAGCCAGGTGGGATTTTTTTTTTTTTTTTTTTTAAAGACAATAAATGGATCAAGTAATTTTTTTCCATTTTTCTGTTTACTCTCTCTCCCCCCGTAGAAGAGAGATCCATGCATAGTCAAATGACTGGAAGACAGGTTGCCAGCAAGGAGGTTATAAAAGGCTGGATGGATCTATATATTAGTTTATTCTGCTCAAAAGACATTTATTGGAACTTCTGCTTCACACCTGCTGTGGGAAAGGCACTGTGCTTATTATCCCTCTCAGCCAACCTCTAAAAACTCCATGTTGGCCTTATGGCAGCTGGACATAGAGGAGTACCACACCTCATCTTGATTTTCAGTTGGCCTTGGCTCCTCCTCTCCATCAGCCCTAGAGGACTGAGCTTAGCTGCAGGGGGGGGTCCTTGCAGCAAAGACGAGAGCCGCAGGTCGTCAGGAGAAAGACTGTCCACTGTGATTTGGGGGACAAATCTTAAGCTTATTCAGCTGTGGGAATCAAACTAGGAATCCCTTTGGGAACCGGTTAAGAAATGAGTATGAAGTTTCCCCCCACTTGTGTTATTATGGAAGCAGAGACCAAAGTTATGTGAGCATATTTAGTCATTTAGAGGAACATGGTACAGAATAGAACATCCTGGCTGCTGGTGTTCAGCCTCAGCCCTGCTTTCATGGCCACTCAGTGTTTGTTCTGAAAAGCAGCGTTGCCCTTTCTGTTTAAGCCCTCTCTCTCTTAGTAATGTTTCTGTCTTGTTTCAGACCCATTTACCCAATATTAAAGTCCACGCCTACTTCGCACCTGTCACTCCACCCCCATCAGTGGGGGGCAGCAGACAGCGCTTCTGCAGATGCTGCATCATCCTATGACAGTGGAGGTGGCAGCGGCAGCGAACTGAGTATTTAATGACACTTCTAGAGTTACCGCGGAGTCTCCAGTGGAAGCGACCCAGTGTTTGGGCAAGGGTTACCACGTGAGGCAGCGTCCAGATTCCCAGAGCCACACGTACATACACATACCCATCCACTCTAGCTCTGTGACGGGGACTGAAGATTGTGCTGGCTTTATCAAGTGGATTGATAAAACTTAGCCATTCCTGTTGGACGTTCCCAGAAGAAAATCATAGGCAAGTAGGGGGAAAGGGGCGTTCCAGCAAACCCAGTGTTACTGCTTACTACGGTTTATTTTATTAAGGGGTTTATTTGGTGATTTTGGAACAGCAACTGCAGTCCTCCAGGGTCAAGGAAAACATGGAGGAAAAACAATATATGTTGTATCCAGGGACCAGAAAGAAAATTTCTTTGCATCTTATAAATGGTAGCCATCCATTGAGAGATGACTACACAGCTTCTGTGCTTCCTCGTTCCCATGCCAACATGCTGAGCATGCTCACAAAGAAGGCTCCTCCATTCCGCCTGCTGTTGAGTATTTGGCCCAGTGGTTTCCTAAATGGTCACATTGAAATGACTGTGGTCCAAATGTGATTACTTATTCGCTCAGATTGTCACTGTCTGTAGCACACTTGTGCGCCTGTTGTCCTTTGTTGCTCCCTCCTGCATCCTTGCCCCGTCTGTCACTTGTTCATAGTCTGCTTATTCACACTCAGTTGTTACTCTTATGCTGTTGTTGTGTTTACAGTTTGCATTTTGGATGATTAGTTGGGGTTACCAAACATTTTTAAAAGAGACATTATCAATAAATATTTTTTTAATCCTAATTTTACCATTAGGGGACCCAGCCTGAATCTTTGCCAGTCTGAAGGGAAACAATTACAAAAGCAAGAAAAGTTATGAGGAGAAATTACGCTAAAACTATTTTGATGATAGTAAATTTTGCCTTTTGGGTTCTGTGATATCTTGTGATATGTGATAATATGCATGATATGCCCAACACTCCCTGCACATTTTTCCTTCCATCTGGCTCTGCTAATTGAGAGCAAAATGCATTATCAGTAAAGAGTGGTGGAATGGCAAATCCCAAAGCTGAGCCTGGACACCCCACCACCCAAACTCAGGCACGTTGTCTGTTCACTGAAATTGAGGTGTGATCAGTGACATCTCTGATTTGTGTCTTTGGGGTTGTTTTGTTTTAGCAGAAGTGCTATTAGAGACACTGTGCCATCTAGCCAATCAGTATCTCTCTCCCCCACCTGTATCTCAGCGTATCAGGGACCCTGTAACAGCTGGTCAACTGTTTGAGAGTGTTGATGGTATCATTTAACATTGAAGCCTCAAAGGACTGGAACCTGTCAGCCTTATCTCTCGTTCTCCAGACTTCCCATGAATGAAATACAAGAGTAGCCAGGTGAAGGAACTGGGGCAGCAGAAAGAGAACATTGAGGAAGAGGAAGTAGGGGTCTCAGTGCCTCTGCCCAGCCTGGTCATCAGAGTTGAGGGGTGGGTAGGGTATTCAGTGCCCATGACTCAGTCAAAAGTGCTCCCCAGACACACACACACACACACAAAATCCTGCAGAGTGAGTTAAATGAGTTTCTAAAGTACTAGAAGTAGATTTCTAAACCCAAGGTTAAAAACCATATGTCTGTTTTGTTTTATTTTTAAATAGGATGACTTTTGTAAGAATTGTGTGATTTATTTCTTCACGTGAAAGGATCCCATAAATGTGTACAACCCATCAGAATTACGTTACATTTATTTTAAATCCTATTTATTCCCTTTTAAAAACTAAAATTATATTTGTTAATTCCCCCTTTCCCTTTTCAAATTACATTGTAAGGAATATATTTTTTAAACTCTCCTGGCTTTGCCCCATACCTATAAATATATACATGTGCACACACACTTCCAGATGTAGTTCATAATATTCAGATCCCCAGGTCACTCATTCAAACAAAACTAAAAAAATATTTAGGGCCCATCTGCTCTAATGTATGATGTTTTTTATAGTGACTGAACAAATTGACCATAAAACCCTGATTGATTAGTGAGTGTGGATTTGAATTGCCCAATAGATGATGCTATTAAGGATTAAGGTTACTTCTTTACTATATGTGTGTGTGTGTGTGTGTGTGTGTGTGTGTGTGTGTGTGTGTGTATGGTCCTACTCCACCAGTCCATGAGTTCTTGGAAATGCTGTTTCTCTCCTCAAAGAGTGTTCCCACGTGCAGGTCCGTGTGGACTTGCCCAGGTGCCCCCTGTCTGTCTGGGCTGAGCAGAGTGGAGTGAGAGGAGAAAGGCCGGGAGTGTGCAGCAGTATGTGGTCAGGCAGGAGGCTTGTCCTTTCTCAAGAAAACTTCAGGCCCATCAAGCTTGGAATGAAATATTTTTTTATGCCAGTCTCCAACTACCCCAGCTGATGAAATGTACCAGGACTTTGAAAACCCAGAACATGGTAAGTTTTGGTCCTGTCATCTGGACACAGTGCTCCCTGTTCAACATCAGGGAAAATTCAGTAAGGTTTCACAGGCGTAACTCTTCCTATGGGAAGCTTGTCTGGCTGCAGAGCCCCTCCACAGTATGCCTTCCATTTGGAAAATGCAATGGGAAGAGAGATTTGGGAGTAGTAAGAAGGTACCCTCCACAGTATTGCCATAAACCTGCCAAGAGCCAGGAGAAATTATTGCAGTGTCCTCTGGTGAAAGGTATTCAACATCCTTTTTTCACGCAGCCTTTTCAGCCCTTATGTTTTCCAGCATCATTTGCTACATCAGTACCTTTTCTATTCTCTTCATTGGCCCCATCAGCTTTTTTTTTTTTTTTTTTATCCTCGCCCAAGGATATTTTTTTCATTACTTTTCAGAGAGAATGGAAGGAAGGGAGTGGGAGAGACAGAGAAAAAAACATTAATATGAGAGAGACACACATAGATTGGTTGCCTTTCACACATGCCCCAACAGGTCTGGAGATCAAACCTGCAACCCAGGTACATACTGGGAATCGAACCCTAGACCGTTGCATGCATGGGTCAGCACTCTAACCACTGAACACACTGGCCAGGGCCCAGATTTTTCTTTTTTTAATTGATGCCTCCCATTTCCTCTTACACCCATCCTCACTGTCTCTTTAAAGCCTCATCTCGCTCCCAATGATGCTACTGATTCTGGAATGTTTCCAGTCTAGCTTCTACTTTGGGCCCTTGTCCTGATCGAGGCAAACCATCCTGGGCAGCCTTGAATTCCATGACTATCAGTGGCTGAGGCTATTTTTCACTGGGTGGTCTTTGACATTTGTTTGCTGAATTAGAAATCAAATTTGGAAATGAGCAGTAAAAGGGATCTGGCTTCATTACCCCCCCTCCCCAATGTTTGGAATATAAAAGCACATTGTACTTCATGTAAAAAGTTTTCTCCTGTTCTGCTTTCTAGTGGATGTAAAAGTATTTCTTAAGTGTGTGTGTGTTTCCACATTCATGAGTTAAGCTGATTTAGAGACATATAAATCAGAAATTTCATATATTCCTTAGAGCACACATTTTAGAGAGAAATGTTTTTATGATGCTTTATTTTGTGTTTTCCAGACCGAACAGTTCAATGTAGCTATAATGCTACAGCAGTCAAAAATGTATGTTCTGGTTGCCTTGTAAAATGCATTTTTACTGGTTTAAAAGCCCGCTGGTGCCGAGGGGGCTACACAGTGAGCCATGAAGCCTGTCTTTGTTTGAAGTGGTTGGGAAGTGCGACAGTGTTACTGGACAGGAGGGGTGGTTGCCTGCCTGCCTGTGTTGGCAGCACGCCCTGTTGTTGGGAAAGGAGGAGCACTGCGGATCATGGTTGCAGACCCTTGGCCGATTGATAATCATCGTGCTGAAAATCACAGACTGCCCGTGACAGTCACCACCACCGAGAGAGGACAAGGGTCGAGTCTGCCTTTTCCCTGCTTGTGTGCATGCTTTAAGCTTAGGTTTCTATCCCTGTTGTGCATCCTGGCTGACACTCTTTCCATGGTATTCTTAGAGCTTCTGGAACATTCTGTAAAACAATTGCCTTCTCTCGCCGTCTACCAGTTCTAGGATCTTTAACCACCTCAGACCAAAACAATGTGAATTAGCCAAGTTTTGTTTGGAAAAGGTTCAGGATGTTTGGTTGGTCTCTAAGTAGAGCCCGTCCATCCCCTTACAGTGATAATGATCTGGGACCAAAGAACCCTAAAGCAGTCGAGGGTGAGGGGACATATGGCGTCTCAGCCTCTCCTCACCTTTATTTCTATCGTAAATTTTAATTGTAAGATTGAAAGACACAAAAAGACAGAAAGACCGTGTCAATCGTGTATAATTAACCAGGTAATAAAGTCGGGCTGTGTTTGCTATGCCCAGGTGCCCTGACTTACCATCTTGGTTCTCTAGCAAACACGTGCGTCTCTAAGCTTGCCTTTTCACTTGGGACCTCCTTCCTGCCAGACACTGCCAGGCGTTTTCTGCATGAAGGGCTTCTGCAGCTCCCTCAGGCAAGTCTCCCTGTTTTGTCCGTTTTTATTCTTAGGTATATCAGTTAATTGTACATTTCCGAAGCCTTTGGTCCTTAGGAAAGTTAATAAAAATCTCGGCTAAGTCTGAAGGAATCTTTGGAGCCCAAGAGAGTTACACTCAACTTTCAGTGGAAAGAAATTTGTTGGACAAGCTCACATGAGGAATGTTGAGAAATTCCATACTGCACTCTTCCATCTCTGCTGTGTGTGTGTTTTGAGTGAAGTGAACCCTTGGTAGAGTTTGATTCCCAGGTGTTGAGGATTATTGCTTGTTCAGCCAGGGTAGTTCTCTGCCCTTGAAGAAGAAGAACTATGAGTAACCAGAACTATATCAATTGACCTCTCTGTTTTTCAGTGTCTTGTTTTGAAGAATTAGGGTAGGGAAATGGTGGTGAGATTCAAAGTAAGGAGAAAATCAGTTCTGGAACTGGGATACTTAGCTTCAG